CGGCGAGGTGTTTCCCAGAAATGTTAGTATTGGGCTTGGCATGTGTTTCTCTGAAAGAAAACCAAAAGTGAAAGCCAGCAAAGAACAAGCAGCTCCACAAAGATTTTCTCCACTTACTCGTGAATGACATGTAATAGTAACATGTATATCTTGTTATGACTCCGGAATAAAAGGAAAACATACAAAATCCTGCAGTTTCAGGATAAGATCACGTCTTGTACATTAGGGCTCCATCTATCACTTTGAACCATATGTCAATGTTGTGAGCTTTATTCATTCACAGGCCCTTAAGCCTCAGAATTTAGGAAATGTAGATGGAAGACGGTAAACGAGAAACGAAACATGAGAAATTGAGGAACTAATGTAGGAACTTGAATTTTAAAGACTTGAATTTGTGGTTTTAGCCACTGTAGCCGCAGCCGCTGCACAGAGGAACATGGCAAGTGGATAAGATGTTTTCTGTTATCAATTGGCTGCTCTTCCTAAGTGAGAAAAATGTGCCTGCTTCAGAGACATATTTATATTGACCTTCTTGTCTAACTGGCAAAGAAAGCAAATAAGCGCATTTCTCAAAACGTTTGAACATAGTCTTAAAACAAGGCACTCTGAAGAAGCTTTTGTGCTTTTTTATTAGGCAACATTTGTTTTCCCTAAAACATATCAAGATGACTTGTTGTACTCCCTTAAGGCAGGGCTCGACATTATAAATGGCCCGCTGGCCCAGAAGCACTATTTAGACACCCCGGGCCAGCATAACGTACTTTCCACTTGCCCATTCGGGCCACTAAAAATATTGCTTTAAAAAAAATTGTCCTGTGGTATTGGTATTTTGACAAGCAATTTTGTTAAATTGTTTAGTTTATTAACGCTACAACATAGCGTTTTGTGAGGCGGTTGTCGTTGTTGGGTGAAAAGCAAACAGCTGTCTCATCTAACCTTTATAAGGTGACGGGACAACATCCTGAAACTTGAAAAACACCATATTTAAGTTGTTGAATTCCAAACAAATTTAAAGTCATATTGAATTTTGATGCCTGAAATTAAGTTAATTATTTAATTGTATAACTCTGACAACCCTCTGTCTCACGCCACTTTGGATTAGCAGATTCTGTTATAAAATACATCTATATACTACTCTGAAAATAGCTGCTCCATAGCTACAGGTTATTCTGATAAAGACATTGTTTTTCTCATCCAAGGCTTTCTCAAAGTAACTTTCTAATCCAAATGTTTTAATATAAACAGCCAAACGTAATCATTCTGCACCATACATATTTCAGAATCAAAAATGTTAAAGTATTTTGAATTCCAGAGTGAGACGGGCAATGGAAAACAAAATGAAACTTATCAGTCCAACAGCACATAGCATCTTTTCTTCCAAACTGAAATACTGTCTGTAAACAGTATGTGGTTAAATACCAGATCTCAACAGGTCACATAAGGATGCTTTTTAAATAAAGGATATATATATTTGTATCTTTCCAAAATAGCTTTGGTTACGTCCATTTATCATCAGTCCATTGCTCTTTATCCTGCCCGAAGCCTCAGATTCTCTGAACAAGGATCAATGTTGAGCTTTCGTTATTTAGAAATGGCTCACTTAACACATAGTTATAGAAAAATTTGCCCAATAGCCTGTTTTCTGCCAAATCAAGTATTTGATTGCATAACATATCTTAGAGCAAGCCTCAAATATAAGCAACTTGAATTTTTACCTTTATCTTTTATCAGAATGGGACCATTTTAATTTGAGAAACTTGAATACAGTAGAAACATTATTACAGTCAACTTTAACCACATGTTACAGTTAATAATGCAGTATAAAAACTGTATTTTGATCTTATTTACTTTCATACTAATGGGGCCATATTGCATACAAACCACAACAGCAGCAGTCCAAAAGTTCAAACCCTCTGATCTTCGCTACCCTTTTTATGTCTGAGGCTTGTGCCATCTGCCAAACAAGTCTTCATCAGAGCCTCATCAGGAATGATTGTGTTGTTGCATGTGGTCGCACAACCTCAAGGAGAGCCACTGCAGCCAAACCATGTTAAGTTTTCAGATAGCATTTGGTTGTTCTTGAGGCCGACCTTTGGAGGAGCTTAATGGGAAGCTCTATGTGCGAAATGCAGAGCCGTGTGAATGTGAAGCAGGGTGGCTCTATTAAAAGCAGGGTGGTCTGTCTGCTTGACCTTGTGCAAGGTTTAAAATATACCTCCATCATTTTCCCATCATTTTCAAATCACATCAGTGGGGAATTCCCACATTTTGACACAGACTGCAACAAATAGAAGTGAAAGTTCCCCAGAAAGGGATTATTTGCCATTAGAGAATCAAAGTAATCACACTGTAACATTTCATCATAACTTGACAGGTTGAACTGAGCAGTGTTTCATGTGTGATGTGCATAAATGCCACTGCTTGAGAATCATCAAGTATTGAAAGGCATCCAACTCCCTCTTTGCCTCAAGGGACCGCAGAGATGACTGCTGCTGAATGTCTGTGGCTTCACGGTGAGGAGCATCGCAACTACTGGGCCAACACCCACATTCTCATCTGATGAAATTCAAGATTCATTACATGTGATGGGATATCTAAGCAGACTAGATATTCAGTCACACATAAGGAACATAAGAAAGATGTTTTTTTGTAATAGTTCATATTAAGAACTGCACAAATCAGGTTTGCACAACAACCGGTTTCTGCAAGGAGGAAAGACTTTCTCTTTCTGGACTGAATTATTGATAGGACACTTTTGGTACGACAATACATGTATAAGGCATCAACCAAAACACTTGTAAATAGTCGTGGCATTGCTTTCCAAGATACAAAAGATATGTGATAGAAAAAAAGAACTGCTGCACTTTCTCTTTTTTACCACAAGAGGTCAGACTGCTCTAACCAGCTCCCTCCTCTGTCATGACGGCGAGTGCATCTCAATCAGGGACCTGAAGGAGATTTGGGAAATGTTTTAAGACACCATTAAGATGATTCAAGGTGGATTTCAAAAAGGTCTTTGCATAAGTTACTTGAGGGTTTTCAGGGGCCAAAATGTTTTTGTTATGTTAGGTGTCACTTTTCCAGTTGTCCCTTTAGGTCCCAAGGATGTCAGGTTCAGGTTGCTTTATTTGTACCCAAAGGTATAGTACAAAATCTAATAATTAGTTAACCAATAAAATAAATAAACTAGAAATAGGAAACCTTAACCAAAGGTTCAACTGTTTTTTTTAAAACTTTTTTTCCAAGGTTCTATGGTTTCTTTATTGTGTTTTATGGTTCCTTGAGGATGTTTTAGGTTTTCAATAGCTTCAGTAGTCCTGATGAACATGTTCGGGGGTTCATGGGATTCTTGGGGCAGACCACATTTTCTGATGGTGTTTTAGAGGTTCATTGAGACCTTTTTAAAGGAGATCTTGAACACTTCAAAATGTTATTAGTGCCCTGTCAAGGGTCTCCTGAAAACGAAACTTCAGCAACCACTTTCAGAAACACATGGACCACTAAAAGCAGCCTGCAACAGTTAATACCCCCTGGAAAGGAATTGGAAAGGGTCCTTGATGAGGTACCATGATAATAAAATGTAATGGAACTATGAATGGTCTGTAATATTGTTCTTCTGTTCCTAGTTGGGTAATGGTTGCAAAGTAACTTAAAGCCCCTAACCGCTACCTTTTCTGAACATGGAAAGAAGTACAGGCACTAGGGCAAGAGTATACTTTTCTCTGCCAAGGGAAAATAATATGAAAACTGTTTTTTACTGTTGTGAAAATAAGCTTTGTTTAACATGTCACACAGCTCTTTCTAATTAAGCTTAGATTTCTTTAAATGCTGATGTCAGCGCCCAGTGTTTTTGCTAACTTTATCAGCACTATCCTCCCCTGGCCATCAAAAGATGTTTCTGTGCCTCCTTTATCTGACAAATTAGTAAGATCAGAAAAAAGCTCCTCAAACATGAGGTGTCTTGGCTGCCATGGCAACAGGATTTCCCCCCTGATGGAGGCAAGGGCACTGTTGCCGCGGGTGATGTCAGCTAAGCCCTGAATTCACACCGCGGGAACAAAATGTGGAAGTATTGTGATCAATTAACTAAGTGTGTGTGCGTGGGTGTGTGTGTGTGTGTGTGCGTGTGTGCGTGCGTGCGTGCGTGTGTTCTGCTTTATCGAGTAGGCTACATTTCCTAATTTCAAACAGATTTGACGAAATCTGTCAAAACTGAAACAACTAATCGCTATAAACTAAAACTCGCTTTTCACATGTGGAAACCTGTACTTTGACAGTGGGAAAGCTGGAGCAATGTATTTTGTACACACTGAAATCTTCACTTTTGTCATCAATAGTAAGTAATCTTTGAGTTTATCCATCACCGTAAGTAACATATGTCACAAAACAAATGTTTGTGTTTCTTTGAGGAGAGCATCTAAGTCTATCACTTCTTAAGTAGCCATGAAATGCCAGGATTCCATTTTTTTTAACCACGTGTATAGATAGTTAGACAGATAGACTGATAAGTAAGTAGATAGATTCAGTAGAAATATACATTTGATTGATATAAACAGGTGATAGATAGATAGATACAACAATTTTAACTTTAATATAACAATGCCAAGTAGTACTCTGTGCATTAGTAGCAGCAAGTTAACATTGTTGTATAGCATGGTGCTGAATTGTTAACATATATTAACATTGAATTTGAATATTAAACATGTAGCTTCACCATCAAGCCCTCCATCCACAGTGAGATTGTCCTATATATAGTAGAGGGAATAGAGAGGGAGGAGAATAGAAAACAAATAGATGGGAGGAGATTCGAAGTCGTCATCAAACATGCATTCATGTATTCTCCCCTATTTCGCTCTCTCTCTTCCTCTCCCCAACCCACACTTTATGTCACTCTCTCCTCCTATACAGAAAAGTCAGCCAATGCATCAGCCTGCTGCTCATCTGCTCTCACTCCCCCCAGCCTCAGATCCTCTTTGCTCCTCCGCTGACTGACACTGCTGATACCTCTCTCTCTCTTCCCTTCCTTCCTCCCCTTTATTCGTCCCTCTCACCTCCTCATCCTCAAGCCACCATGGTGAACGGATAACCTCCCAGCCATCCTTACACCATGGGTGCCTGCCTCTGCAAAGGTCACAAAGGTCAGTCCACCTGTTGTCTGTGTGTCTGTCTGAGTTTCTGATCATCCTGCAGGAAGTGTTGATAGCATTCTGAAAACATTTGAGGAGAAGTTACATTATGCTTTCAAGGGGTAGCTCTGAAAATCTGAATAATTAAAGTAACAAGAACCCTGAGGTGTCAACAACCACCATTTCTTTTTAAATGCAAGTGTTTGCAGGATGAAACATTTAACCATACGTTGAAGAATTCAGCCAAAAAGCTTGTTTTCATCAGTTTTTATTTGTGCAGCTTTTTTGGATCAAAGTGCAGAGATTGCTTTAGGAATTAGACTTGAGGAAGGAGGGGGGGGGGGAGAGGTTGATAATAGGGATTGTGGGGATCAGCGGAAGACAACAGTAGCTTTAGGATGTGATGGCTCCATCCGAGGCTCATCTCCAACTTGTCGTGACTTGAAAATGCAACCTGGATTGCGATTTTCTGACTCTTATTTGTCCTTGCTCTAGGTGGAAATATATTAGTGTTTGTTGTCCGGATAAAAAAACAGCAGGGTGCATCTCAGGAATAACACTAACATGTATTTGTGCCCTCAAAAGATCTAATAAAACAAAAAACATAGTTTTAAGTGTTCCAGCTGTCTGATATACCTTATTGTGTGGGTGTTTAACATTCATGTCACATTCTCATACATTTAGTTTAGCCTGTGATGTTTTTCTCACCTTATTTTGTCTGCTAAAGACTGCTTTTGGTCAGGAAAGGTTCTGATTCAAACAATTTAGAGGGTGATGATGAGAGCAATGCTTTCAAGCTGGGAGGACAGAGGGAAAGCAGCTGTCAGACAGACAGCTAAGAGAACAGCGGGAGTGTGTGTGAGTGTGTTCATGGTTCAGGAATCATGATGGTTTTCTTGACCTGCTAATATCATTCGATGAGGCCAGAGACCAGATCGTGACTTAAAGGTCCCATGTCATAGCCATTTCTACTGATCAAAATTCCATTGTTGAGGTCTACTAGAGTAGATTGACATTGTTCAATGTTCCAAACTCACATTGGTTTCTCATACAGCATCTCTGTATAGTATGTGTATTCTCTTTGTCCTACACGCCTTGTTGGAGCTCCTGCCCCCCCCCCCCTGAGCCCACTGTGCACTGATTGGTCAGCTCGCCCACTCTGTTCTGATGAGTCAACCACCGTTACAGCGGAGCATCAGTCATTATGTGTTACAATGGCGTTTGTTAGCAACCAGAAAATGACACCAGTAAGGACAAATAGAGGAGAATGCAGCGTGGGGTCTGGGTGCCGTGTTGGCGGGACGTTGCGGGGAACGCTGCTCCACCCTTTGAGGCTCGAGGAGCGGACAGTGTGAGCTGGATTACTGGTGTGGTTTCCTGTTGCTGCGTGGGGTCTGCGAGATAGCGAGACACCGCGGAACTCAGCCTGAGCACACACATACACTCACAGCCAGGCTGTTCGCCACACAGTTCGCCACACACTCACAGCCTGATAAAAAATAAGGCTGAGTGAGTGTGTGTGCCGGCGAAACTCCGCGGAGTAGCGCGGCTGAGAAAAGATAAGGGTGTGTGTGTGTGTGTGTGTGTGTGTGTGTGTGTGTGTGTGTGTGTGTGTGTGTGTGTGTGTGTGTGTGTGTGTGTGTGTGTGTGTGTGTGTGTGTGTGTGTGTGTGTGTGTGTGTGTGTGTGTGTGTGTGTGTGTGTGTGTGTGAGGAGCTCCACGGATTGGTCCATTTGGACCTGGGCATGGTTACGTCACCATACTCGGGAAAAAGAAAGATCTCCAACGAGGCGTTCTGGGGCAGCAGCATAGACACAGTGTTAATTTCGTTAACGAAAACTATGACGAAAAATGTTCGTCAACGACCTTTTTTACATGACTAAGACGAGACGATGACGAGCTAAAAATAGATTCTTGATAACGAAAACTATGACGAAATGTACATTTAGTTTTCGTTGACGAGACGAGACGAAGGTGTTAAGGGTGGACTATCGGACATTAAAAATGCAGGGTATTATTTTTCAAAATGCATCCCTGTCATTGGTTGAATTATTTGGGATTCTGGGCACATCACTCACCCCCACCCCAGCTGCAGCAGGTGCTGATGATGTGCACCACACAGTGAGAAAATAACAAGATGACGGATTCAGCGACAGCGCTTTTAGTTTTGGCCCGAAAAAAAGCTAGATATATGGACACACTTTATTTATAATTCGGTAGAAAGTAAAACACACAGCACTGTTACTGCGGGAGAAGGAGAGACGCCATGTAGGCTTCAAATTAGTTGGGAAGAATACGACCAACCTGAAGAGGCACTTACTTGAAGGCGCACCATCCTGCTATTTATGCCACGGTAAGTTAGCTAACTGTAACGTTACATGATAAGTCGTAACTAACTCGTAAGTGGTAACGCTAACTAAGCATATCAATTTGCTAACGTTAAGTCTATGTTACTGGGCAGTCGGCATTGGCAACTAGTGGCAAATGTACTAGCTATCCATGTTGGCTTAGCCTTTCTTGCAAACAAGTTTTCAGTTTCCAGTAGCAAATGAATGAGCCTAGCTTCCAGGCTAATGTTGGCTGGGCTTGCATTGCAATAACTATCTAGTCACTGCAATTGTGTTTTTTTTAAGATTACACAGCAATTTATTTGGAAAATATTTGTGTATGGTTTCTTATCTCTAAGGCCAGGTAGGCATATATATAATAGGCTAGTTGTATTGTATTATCACATAATTAGAATCTTCAAAATCTAAACTTGATATTATTGATATACTATATTTTAATGATAATACTATTAACAAAGGCATATTTTAAAGGGATTAGCCTACATTTAATTAATTGGAATTAATCTGTAGGCCTTGTAGGTCTGTATAGGGAGTAACTTTCCTCCTCTGCTCTGCTTCCACAATTCCCAACCTGATAGCCTATTAATTTTTACGTCCCATAAATAAAAAGTTTTACGTCAGGGACAGTAACAACTTAATAAACCCTTAGACGTGTGTAGTTGAGTGGGGGTGGGTCGACGTCGTCCACGACTACTACACGTGGGTGTGTCACTCTTTTATTGTTCTCTCTGCCTAGTCGCTGTCGCGAAAATAAAAAACCGGGCTTTTTTTCTTGATCTATATACCTGGTGTGAAATAAATATTAAGCCACTTTCATTTTGTGTGACGTGACAATGAACGCCCTCCTTCCCTCTGCGGTACACCGGAATTTAATCAACCTTCTTATGCGGATTGGACTTCTCCGTGAATGACTTCCGGCGTGGTTAGGACGATAAATACGGTGCCATTCAAGATTTGACCATTGCAATGTACTATTCAGCATTGATTGAGCATTCACCATTGCGATTGATTCGTATAGTTAAACGATTGCAATTCAGATACAATGAACCCGTCAGTCGTAACCGTTGATCACGTTTACATGATCGATTAGGTACAACCGAATCGAAAGACGTTTTGTCAAAAGTCAAAGCGTCATCGTTTACTTACTCGGAATCGCGAAGGTCCGACCTTACCAACCGACCCGAAACGTAACGGTTATTGATAGATCAGGTGACGTTAACACCAAAAAAAAAATTTTCTTAATGTGTCGTTAAATAAACCTTTATAAACACCATACCCAAAGAATAGAGATTCCGGTCCATCCGTAATATTATATTACCGATCAACATAAATAATAGTGTATTAATGCTTTAGAAGTTTTAGATTTGAACTATAATAACTATATGATATAAAATTACTATTATGATAATTGTTTCCGTATAAAATTTTTCCCTAATCGGATGAAATTAATAACCTTAATTAGACATCCGGAACATCCAGACATATCCTTCATTGAAAGGAGGGATTCTAGGTCTCTTGCTCCATGAGTTTTTGTCGTTGGACCAGGCTTCTTGCCTCCTTTTGTCAGTGATAGGGTCCGTCGCAAAGAGGAGGAGTCCTGGTTTTATGTTTCGGTCTGAGCGACCTTGTTCCGTCGATTTCTTTTCCAGTAACGGGTCACCTAACCTAGCGTGGCCAGGATGACGGGCATGTCAACTCCTACTCCCTAAAGTAGGAATATACCTCTGGAAGCTATTCTCCGACTTGGGTATGGGTTTTTTTTTGTTTTATTTGTTGAATTCAACTGTTCGAAGTTGTAATGCTTTTTTGTTTTTTATTTCTTTCTGAGCGGTGTCGGTGCGTTTTATTGTTAACCCGACCTGTATACCTCGTTTTTTCCTAAAATGTCGTAGTAAGGGACCGGTTAATCACGTACAATGAAATTGGTTTGTTTTTAAGACTGTCAGGTATTGACTTTGCCTTAGTTTGTACCAACGTTCGTAATTTTTTTTACATGTACTCTCGGGTCGTCGAGGCTCCTTCTAGGGTCCTCTCACTGTTGGAGTCTCAGAAGGGAGTAGTGAGAGGACCCTTAAGAAGGAGCCTCGACGACCCGAGTAGTACATGTAAAAAAAAATTACGACGTTGGTACAACTAAGGCAATAGTCAATACTGACAGTCTAAAACACAAAAACCATTTTCATTGTACGTGATTAACGGTCCTACTACGACATTTAGGAAAAAAACAGGTATACAGGTCGGGTTAACAATAAAACGCACGACACCCGCTCAGAAAGAAATTAAAAAACAAAAGCAATTACACTTTCGAACAGTTGGATTCAACAAATAAAAACAAAAAAAACCCATACAAGTCGGAGAATAGCTTCCAGAGGTAGTATTCCTACCTTAGGAGTAGGAGTTGACATGCCTTCCATCTGGCACGCAGGTTAGGTGACCCGTTACTGGAAAAGAATCACGGAACAAGGTCGCTCAGACGAAACATTAACCAGGGACTCTCTCCTCTTTGCGACGACCCTATCAACTGACAAAGGAGGCTAAGACAGCGTGGTCCAACCGACAAAACTCATGACGCAGAGACC